TCGTCACTCTACATCAACTTCATTGATTATGAGAAGGCATTTGACAGTGTAGATAGGAGAACGTTATGGAAACTCCTTCGACACTACGGAGTTCCTGAGAAGATTGTCAATATTATCCGAAACTCATACGACGGACTACAGTGCAAAGTAGTGCATGAAGGACAACTGACAGATGCATTCCAAGTAAGGACCGGAGTAAGACAATGCTGTCTACTCTCTCCCTTCCTCTTTCTTCTGGTGGTCGACTGGATTATGAAGACCTCGACATCTGAGGGAAAACACGGCATACGATGGACAGCTCAGAACCAATTAGACGATTTGGACTTCGCAGATGACCTAGCCCTCCTATCGCATACACACGAACAAATGAAGACAATGACAGCCAGCATAGCAGCAGTCTCTGCATCAGTAGGCCTCAACATACACAAAGGGAAAACCAAGGTCCTCAAACACAACACGGAGAACAGCAATCCAATCACACTCAATGGCGAAACTCTAGAAGATGTGGAACCCTTCACATACCTGGGAAGCTTCGTCGATAAACAAGGAGGTTCAGATGCAGACGTAAAGGCGAGGATTGGCAAAGCAAGGACAGCATTCCTTCAATTAAAGAACATGTGGAACTCCAATCAACTTTCAACCAATATCAAAGTCACAATCTTCAATACGAATGTCAACACAGTCAGTTATACTGTACGGAGCTGAAACGTGGAGAACTACAACAACCATCATCAAGAAGGTACAGGTATTTATCAATAGCTGTCTACGCAAGATACTCAACATCCATTGGCCGGATACCATCAGCAACAGCCTTTTGTGGGAGAGAACCAACCAGCTTCCAGCTGAAGAGGAAATTAGGAAAAGACGATGGAGTTTGTGGATAGGACATACATTGAGGAAATCATCAAACTGCATTACGAGGCAAGCGCTAACTTGGAATCCTGAAGGGAAGCGGAAAAGAGGAAGGCCAAAGAACACATTACGTCGGGAAATAGAAGTAGATATGAAAAAGATGAATAAGAACTGGAAAGAGCTTGAAAGGATTGCCCAGGACAGGGTTGGATGGAGAATGCTGGTGAACGGCCTATGCTCCTTCACGAGGAGTAACAGGCGTAAGTAAGTAAGTAAGTGGTTTTAGTGATCTATGTGTGATGCGATAATAAACGTAATCAACACTTTGTATTCGCCTTCTGATGTATGTACCACTGGGCGTTATCTAGTAACGGTTATCATGACGAACAGTATACGAAGTATAAGAATTATATCAAGTATCGACCGTCACAAAAGATAAAATGATTAGTTGATTACGCAACTAAGTATTTGGACATAAATTAACAGCATTTAGGAATGACATAAATTGAATTTTTAAAATATTATGAGTTATAAACAACTGATGAGAACCTAGTGAAGTCAAATGAATCTTTGTTATTCTGCTTAATACTTCGTCTTTGCTCGCTTCAAGTTATTTTGTTCTACTGCAGAACTGCTCAACAGTGTACACTTACAGAAATCCTAATTATTAAATCTCAAACCAAACATGCTTCACAGCTGGTATACATTATTTCTAGATCACTGTATCACAACTCAACAATTCGTATTACAAACGTCAGTCAGTTCATAATATTGTGTAGTTATCATTCATTTCCAAAAGTGTAGTACATAGCTCAAACCTTATATGACTGAACTCTACTGATCATGACTTTCTGAACGAATCTTGTAGATCTATATTTAACACAAATATCATACTGAACGATGTGTATCATGAAGGCATTATAAAAGAAAGCAATAGTATCAGTAAAAATTTACACATTTATGAATATTATAAAAATCCTGGGAAGCACTGGATGGCTGTTTTGTCCTACTGTGGGACTCGTCAGCAATGCGCACCCACGATCCTGCCCTCCCCGCGAGATTCAAATCCAGGATCTATGAGTTTCGCGCGTGGGCGCCTAACCATTAGACCACTGAGCCGGCTTGCATCTAACGGTGTTAATGTGTTACTTCAACTAATCCATGAAATTGAGCGATACATCCACCATTGTTTTCAGTGAGTCTCTATCTCACAATAGACCGTGTTTAACTTCACTGTTCACTGCTTCTCACTAGAACTTCAAGAAATATCTCTTGGGGACCGTCACTAGTGAGCATATGTTCATTGTACTTATATTTAATAATAAAAGGAATTAAAGACAATGTGAAATAACACGAGTGTAAAATTAAAACCATCTGATAATTGAAATAAGAAGTTAATAGTTTAAGGTCTCAAACACATTTTATAATATAACTGAGTAATTTGCACTCATGAAAACTGAATTATTTACATAAAAGTAATTAAGTGAATAAATACCAGAACGATATAATAGAGAACCTACTGATAAAGCAATTTCTTTCTTATACAATAACTTATATTATGTACAGAATGTTTGGCGAGGCTATAATTTATGAACGAACCAATCAGGTATAAGATAAAAAGTCTTAAATTTTGGCACGAAATTCATTCACCCATTTGACTAACCATAGTCTTGACATTATAGCTGGTGTCAGTTCATGATGAGAACCATAAATTTAATTCCTAACCTTAACCATCAACTGTAAATCATAATTTTAATTCCTCACGCTAGTTTATATCCCTATTTTGGCCCTAGTTATTGTTGGGGTATTCAGAAAATACCCCAGAAATTATCTAATGCTATTCCTGAATGAGAAATAGTGTCATTTCCCATTGGTCAACATTCTTCCAACGTGTCATTTCCCTATTGGTCAATATTTATTTGTGTCATTTCCTGAAGGTTAAATCTTGTACAAATGTTATTTTCTATTTTATGGTACGTTGTGGTCTGTTTGATTGCGATATAAACAGAGTATGTTTGAGATACAATGATTCTTATCTCCGAGGCTGAGACTTGTGTTTTGGACTCAATTGGCTGGGCTAGACAGGGAAGCAGGGCCAATCAGAACTCTAGGCTGCTCGCTCGTATTTTATGCGTCACTGTATCGGTCGGTAATAGGCTGCTCTCTAATAGGCGGATCACACGTTATAACAGTTATCAGGTGAACACTCTCAAAGACAGTTTAGCGTCGCTCAAAGGTCATCCATAAATTATAGTCACACCGAATGAGTAATACTAAGTGCAAATGGACAATATCATTTAAAAATGTAATTGATTGAAGACAATGTTAATTTTTTATAGATCAATAAGTAACCGATTATATCATGACTTGGTTTACTAAGGCTGCCTACGATACTTTCAATGTTTAATAATTTTCAATAGGTGCATGATGAATATTTCGTTTCAAGCTTGTTTACTTACTTACTTATGCCTGTTACTCCTAATGGAGCATAGGCCATCGACTAGCATTCTCCAACACACTCTGTCCTGGGCCTTCTTTTCTAGTTCCATCCAATTCTTGTTCATTTTTCTCATGTCTATCTCCATTTCCCGGCGTAATGTGCCCTTTGGTTTTCCTCTTTTCCTTTATTCAGCCTTGAGGATTCTATGTGAGGACTGGCCTTAAGATGCAGTTCAGTGATTTCCTCGATGTGTGTCTTATCCACTTCCAGAGATTCTTCTTGATTTCTTCTTCCGCTGGGATCTGGTTTGTTCTCTCCCATAGTAGGTTGTTTCTAATAGTATCCGGATCCATAATTGACTGTTGTGAAAATGTTCATGTACTTCAGGTCAACATACTACATAAAAATATGGTGGAAATAATGATTTAAAATGAAATTTTGACCGAAAATTACTCTCGAATTATTTAGGACTCAATTATAAAATCAAGTTTTGAAATGATTGAAATTGTTGACAGCTTGATATCCTTTATATGTGATAGGTAAACTGACAACTTATTACCGATTTAGTTGATAATTGATAGTTTTTAAAATGGACTTAGATTGCAGTGTGATGCTATTTATGATTTTTTCCACCTGAGTTCGTTCACTTCAGTAGTAGTACTGTTAATTCCAACAATCTATGTAACAATAACAGTTTGTTCTGTTCTACTTTATGGCTGTGAAGCGCGGTCATTAAAAGTAGAAGAAACTCGTAAGCTGCCAGTATTTGACCACAGATGTCTTAGAAATATTGCTCGAATCTGCTGAGATCACCGGGTAAGTAATAGTGAGGTTAGACACAGGGTATGAGCAAATGATGGTAAATCAGTTGATGAGGTTGTGAATCTTCATCGAATGAGATGGCTGGGCCACGTGTTGCGTATGCCTGAACACTGATCACCACGACACACAATGCTAACCGGTGTTGTGGATAGTTGGAAGAAAGTTAGGGTTGACCAAACCCATACGTGGCATCAGTGCTTGAAGTCACTAACTTCTGGTCTCAGCTATGTTATTAGATGCAGACTACTCGGTTGGGGTCCGCCTGACTATCGTAACCAATGGTTGGAGACTGTGTGACATGGCTCAGAATCGATCATAATGGCGTCGGTGTATACACTCTCTGTCTTCCCATAAATTAAGAGATTAAAATCGCTTCATGTCTTTCTTTCTACGAACTAACTTTCTTCCTGTACCATATATCTATATGCAATCTTTCTGTTATATATTACCACCATTAACTTAACCACTCCTATGAATCCGGTGTTCATCTTGTTGTGCTAATGAGGTGTGGCAACTTCGACTGATGCATATATGTGCCTGTTCCTACGATGTAGTTGACTGACTGACATAACATCTATAGAATACATAATACTGGTATGTCTGTTTATTTATCATTTTAATATGATGTCTGTTCCAATAGTTTTTTAATATATCTCAGAGGAGTATTATAAAATGATAACCTTGTTTCTTCAACTTTCAAAAAACAGTTACAAATAAACTAGATATCAGCTTTCTTCATCAGAGAGAATTAAGTGGAAACTGTAACTGACTTAAAACAAGTGTACCTAGAGATTCGAATAAAGAAGTATAGTTCTATCAAACTGGAATTTGTGTAGCTCATATTAAAGAATAATCCGTTTAGTATTTATTATGCTAATCAAAAGACATGATAAATAATGACCAGTCGAATATTATTCATGAGGTAAACTGATCATTTGCAATCCTAAACGTTGATGGAAAAATCCGAAAAACATTACAAAATGAATTTAAAACTTCGCCACATTGCACAATCTAGTGGCTATCAGAACTCAATAGCTGAGTGAATAACGTGATGGTGTTTGAAGTAAAGGGTACTGGATTCGAATCCCAGAGTGAACATCAACTCTGAGATGCAGGTACATTCAGCTAACCAGTCCAAAACAGGACGAAACGCGTGTCCTGGATCCCACTGCTAACCACCGCCCATCTTTGCTTATAATGGTTTGACTTAAGGCGATATAAAGGAAGTCTGCACAGGATTCACATCTGCTAATTAGAAACTGATCGATTACAGTCCTAAACATCAATGGGAAGATTCATACAAACAATACAAAATGAAGATAAACGCTACATTATATAAAGTGGCCAAACTCTTCGTTTTCTTTCGAGTGAATAATAATTAACCCTATTCGTTCACACTAATTCATGCACACAACATCGGATATGGAACCAAGTTAGAATTTTTCTAAGAAAACACGTTTGAAAATTGTCTCTTAAATCACTGAACAATCAGCAGACGTATTGATACAGAATTGACTCATCACCAAGCAAACAATTATAAACAACGATATATGAGAATAGGTTTTGTGGATATTACAGTAATTTTAGTAGTTCATATCATGAGTAGATTGAATGTAGATCACCATGGAAAACCTGAAAGCACTGGACGGCCGTCTCGTCCTATTATGGGACTTCTCGGCAGTGCGCATCTACGATCCCGCCCACGGGATTCGGACTCAGGCCCTTCGGTCTCGTGCATGAACGCATAAAATTAACCCCATACTGATATGTAACGTAATAATTATATAATGACATATCAATTCTAAATTGACATTTAGTAATTGGAAGAAAGATGATTAATAATTAACAAAGTAATTATTCTAATATCAAGCTGTTGCTGCGTTGCACAGTATATGAAAAGAAAGAACCAACAAACTGTTTTAATGAAAAGACAGTGTTATATGGTACTTATGTAATAAACAATAGACGAATAGTAATATAATACTCTTTCTTCAAATTGCTCACTATAATTTTATAATCAATTTGACATTATCGAATTCTTACGTAATGCAACTACTCGATAAGCATTATTTCATTGTTGTATATATATATATATATATATATATATATATATATATATATATAAAGAGAGGGAGAGAGGGAGGGAGGGAGGCACAGGGAGAGAGAGCCATGGTGAAAAACTAACTGAAAAGAAAATTTTTTCCCCTCTATTCGTTCTTTATACTAAATGTTAGGATCGAAATTTTCACTATATTAGTTAAATTGAATCATTCATCAATAAAGAAAGTTTATATAAATAAGATCAAATGAAGAAGTTAATCAGAACTAATAATATCAAGTTATCCTTATTTAAAACTCAATTATTTTCTATGTAGTGCATAAATTTTATAAACTGTTAAAGTTTTCCTCATTGGAAGAATAAACAGAGATAAAAATGAGCAGCTAAGTAGATGACGTGATGGCGTTTGAAGCGAACGTTACTGGGTTCGAATCCCAGAATGAACATCAAATCCGAGACGCAGGTACATCGAGCTAACGAGTCCCAAATAGGACGAAATGCGTGTACTGGATCCCACTGCTAACCACTGCCCATCTTTGCATATAATGTTTGTGAATTAAGGCAATATCGAGACCACATGCGCAGTATGCACATATACTAATAAGAGATTGATCAATGAAGTCCTAAATATCAATAAGAAGATTCAAGTAAACAGTACGAAGTGAATTTAAAACTGAGTATGACGAAATAACTGGTATTTTAAAGAACTTTCGTCTTATTTCGATCGAATAGTTTCACAACATTTGGGCACCGAGTTGATGTGACACATCAAAGAGTAAGAATGTATTTCTGAAATTTCAGCGAATGAATTTGAAGTAAGTCCAAAGTTTTGTCCGGAAATCCGGTCAAAGCTTTCCAAGGAAATATAATCGAACATCGAATTTGTCGAATATAAATAGATACATAGTTCTCCAGTTCATTGTATACTGAATAGGTCATCGAATCAACGTTAGATTTACATCAAATTCATTCGTTGAGATTTTACAAGTGCATTCCCCCTCTTTAACTGGTATGTTTATTAACTTTATTGATAGCCCTTTGTTTCTATTACTATTATCGTCGTCGTCACATATTTGTCATCATCATCATCATCATCATCATCATCATCATCATCATCATCATCATCATCATCATCATCATCATCATCATCATCATCATCATCATCATCATCATCATCATCATCATCATCATCATCATCATCATCATCATCATCATCATCATCATCATCATCATCATCATCATCATCATCATCATCATCATCATCATCATCATCATCATCATCATCATCATCATCATCATCATCATCATCATCATCATCATCATCATCATCATCATCATCATCATCATCATCATCATCATCATCATCATCATCATCATCATCATCATCATCATCATCATCATCATCATCATCATCATCATCATCATCATCATCATCATCATCATCATCATCATCATCATCATCATCATCATCATCATCATCATCATCATCATCATCATCATCATCATCATCATCATCATCATCATCATCATCATCATCATCATCATCATCATCATCATCATCATCATCATCATCATCATCATCATCATCATCATCATCATCATCATCATCATCATCATCATCATCATCATCATCATCATCATCATCATCATCATCATCATCATCATCATCATCATCATCATCATCATCATCATCATCATCATCATCATCATCATCATCATCATCATCATCATCATCATCATCATCATCATCATCATCATCATCATCATCATCATCATCATCATCATCATCATCATCATCATCATCATCATCATCATCATCATCATCATCATCATCATCATCATCATCATCATCATCATCATCATCATCATCATCATCATCATCATCATCATCATCATCATCATCATCATCATCATCATCATCATCATCATCATCATCATCATCATCATCATCATCATCATCATCATCATCATCATCATCATCATCATCATCATCATCATCATCATCATCATCATCATCATCATCATCATCATCATCATCATCATCATCATCATCATCATCATCATCATCATCATCATCATCATCATCATCATCATCATCATCATCATCATCATCATCATCATCATCATCATCATCATCATCATCATCATCATCATCATCATCATCATCATCATCATCATCATCATCATCATCATCATCATCATCATCATCATCATCATCATCATCATCATCATCATCATCATCATCATCATCATCATCATCATCATCATCATCATCATCATCATCATCATCATCATCATCATCATCATCATCATCATCATCATCATCATCATCATCATCATCATCATCATCATCATCATCATCATCATCATCATCATCATCATCATCATCATCATCATCATCATCATCATCATCATCATCATCATCATCATCATCATCATCATCATCATCATCATCATCATCATCATCATCATCATCATCATCATCATCATCATCATCATCATCATCATCATCATCATCATCATCATCATCATCATCATCATCATCATCATCATCATCATCATCATCATCATCATCATCATCATCATCATCATCATCATCATCATCATCATCATCATCATCATCATCATCATCATCATCATCATCATCATCATCATCATCATCATCATCATCATCATCATCATCATCATCATCATCATCATCATCATCATCATCATCATCATCATCATCATCATCATCATCATCATCATCATCATCATCATCATCATCATCATCATCATCATCATCATCATCATCATCATCATCATCATCATCATCATCATCATCATCATCATCATCATCATCATCATCATCATCATCATCATCATCATCATCATCATCATCATCATCATCATCATCATCATCATCATCATCATCATCATCATCATCATCATCATCATCATCATCATCATCATCATCATCATCATCATCATCATCATCATCATCATCATCATCATCATCATCATCATCATCATCATCATCATCATCATCATCATCATCATCATCATCATCATCATCATCATCATCATCATCATCATCATCATCATCATCATCATCATCATCATCATCATCATCATCATCATCATCATCATCATCATCATCATCATCATCATCATCATCATCATCATCATCATCATCATCATCATCATCATCATCATCATCATCATCATCATCATCATCATCATCATCATCATCATCATCATCATCATCATCATCATCATCATCATCATCATCATCATCATCATCATCATCATCATCATCATCATCATCATCATCATCATCATCATCATCATCATCATCATCATCATCATCATCATCATCATCATCATCATCATCATCATCATCATCATCATCATCATCATCATCATCATCATCATCATCATCATCATCATCATCATCATCATCATCATCATCATCATCATCATCATCATCATCATCATCATCATCATCATCATCATCATCATCATCATCATCATCATCATCATCATCATCATCATCATCATCATCATCATCATCATCATCATCATCATCATCATCATCATCATCATCATCATCATCATCATCATCATCATCATCATCATCATCATCATCATCATCATCATCATCATCATCATCATCATCATCATCATCATCATCATCATCATCATCATCATCATCATCATCATCATCATCATCATCATCATCATCATCATCATCATCATCATCATCATCATCATCATCATCATCATCATCATCATCATCATCATCATCATCATCATCATCATCATCATCATCATCATCATCATCATCATCATCATCATCATCATCATCATCATCATCATCATCATCATCATCATCATCATCATCATCATCATCATCATCATCATCATCATCATCATCATCATCATCATCATCATCATCATCATCATCATCATCATCATCATCATCATCATCATCATCATCATCATCATCATCATCATCATCATCATCATCATCATCATCATCATCATCATCATCATCATCATCATCATCATCATCATCATCATCATCATCATCATCATCATCATCATCATCATCATCATCATCATCATCATCATCATCATCATCATCATCATCATCATCATCATCATCATCATCATCATCATCATCATCATCATCATCATCATCATCATCATCATCATCATCATCATCATCATCATCATCATCATCATCATCATCATCATCATCATCATCATCATCATCATCATCATCATCATCATCATCATCATCATCATCATCATCATCATCATCATCATCATCATCATCATCATCATCATCATCATCATCATCATCATCATCATCATCATCATCATCATCATCATCATCATCATCATCATCATCATCATCATCATCATCATCATCATCATCATCATCATCATCATCATCATCATCATCATCATCATCATCATCATCATCATCATCATCATCATCATCATCATCATCATCATCATCATCATCATCATCATCATCATCATCATCATCATCATCATCATCATCATCATCATCATCATCATCATCATCATCATCATCATCATCATCATCATCATCATCATCATCATCATCATCATCATCATCATCATCATCATCATCATCATCATCATCATCATCATCATCATCATCATCATCATCATCATCATCATCATCATCATCATCATCATCATCATCATCATCATCATCATCATCATCATCATCATCATCATCATCATCATCATCATCATCATCATCATCATCATCATCATCATCATCATCATCATCATCATCATCATCATCATCATCATCATCATCATCATCATCATCATCATCATCATCATCATCATCATCATCATCATCATCATCATCATCATCATCATCATCATCATCATCATCATCATCATCATCATCATCATCATCATCATCATCATCATCATCATCATCATCATCATCATCATCATCATCATCATCATCATCATCATCATCATCATCATCATCATCATCATCATCATCATCATCATCATCATCATCATCATCATCATCATCATCATCATCATCATCATCATCATCATCATCATCATCATCATCATCATCATCATCATCATCATCATCATCATCATCATCATCATCATCATCATCATCATCATCATCATCATCATCATCATCATCATCATCATCATCATCATCATCATCATCATCATCATCATCATCATCATCATCATCATCATCATCATCATCATCATCATCATCATCATCATCATCATCATCATCATCATCATCATCATCATCATCATCATCATCATCATCATCATCATCATCATCATCATCATCATCATCATCATCATCATCATCATCATCATCATCATCATCATCATCATCATCATCATCATCATCATCATCATCATCATCATCATCATCATCATCATCATCATCATCATCATCATCATCATCATCATCATCATCATCATCATCATCATCATCATCATCATCATCATCATCATCATCATCATCATCATCATCATCATCATCATCATCATCATCATCATCATCATCATCATCATCATCATCATCATCATCATCATCATCATCATCATCATCATCATCATCATCATCATCATCATCATCATCATCATCATCATCATCATCATCATCATCATCATCATCATCATCATCATCATCATCATCATCATCATCATCATCATCATCATCATCATCATCATCATCATCATCATCATCATCATCATCATCATCATCATCATCATCATCATCATCATCATCATCATCATCATCATCATCATCATCATCATCATCATCATCATCATCATCATCATCATCATCATCATCATCATCATCATCATCATCATCATCATCATCATCATCATCATCATCATCATCATCATCATCATCATCATCATCATCATCATCATCATCATCATCATCATCATAATCCAAATCATTACCCAGTTCTAAGACTTTCATTTCATCTAAGCTGTGCATAGTTGCTTGTTTTAGTCTATTTTATCTTAGTTCTTCAAAGTTTCGTAGTTTCTTGTAATAATACTCTTTATTGTTTGATACTTTAGTCATCTAATCTCTTGATATTCATTTTGATAGTATGTAATGATATGAAGATATATTTTTATTTTAAAAAATTGTTGAGGAAATCCAGAAAATTTCTCGAAAAAAGTCAACAGTGCCTCTGGAAACACTGAGAAGCAACTTATCCAATCAGCGTTCACTAGAAGTTTTGTCAAATTTCATGGAGTTTCTGATAGGATGATTACTCATACTACTACTACTATATTTAGTAATATTCTAGAATTTTCCGGAAACACAAGGACATCTAAAGTACTATAAAAACTCTAGATTTTCTGTACATAAATGAACCTTTGAAGTAAAGCGTTTCTTCTATTTTTCGCGCCATTTTCTTTTATGTTCAAGTTACTGTGTAGATCTAGCCTAGGTGTTACAAGAAGAGCTTAAGAACCGAATCTAGCGTTCAATTAGCAAGACCTATCAACAATAAGAACAATTGATATTGATTTAAAAGATTGAAAGTCGTGTAAATTAATAAAATGTTTCATTTAGGAGTATTCGGCGATGTATGAGTACAATTCCATACATAATTAACATATGAAAATTTAAATCTCTATAGTAAAAAACTATATTAGTTACAATCTAATTTTGTTTATAATTTTAACCAACTTATAATGTAGTGTAATCGTCATTTAACCTCACTGGCTTTATTGGTGAAGAGATCATTTATCTTCAGTCTTTAGTCTTCAGTAATAAAGTTAGTAGGTTGGTGAACCTGTTTTAATCCTAACAGATTGCCTCCTAGTAAAGTTCCAGCTTCTTCTTGAAAATATTCACCGATGGGGCTGATACCACTTGTTCGGGTAAGGTGTTCCAGTCATTGACTACTCGATGAGAAAAACGCGACCCCACTTTAAGTTTAGTAGATCATGATTTGTGAACCTTCTTGCTATGACCTCGTAGATTATTAGTGCTGGAGGGAGAAAAAAACATATTAACACCCAAATCTCAATTAAAGATACGAAATGCCAGTATAAGGTCACCTCATATCCTACGATATGACAGGGGGAAAAGGTTTAGGCATTTCAAGTGCTCCCATACGTTCAAGTTAGTTGGTATCCTTTATCAGACATGCACTAGCTGCTTTGATACAGTACTTCAAGTGTGGTTTTACATAGGCAGGATATAAAATTTGAAACATTTCCTCGTCAAAGCATTTCAATGCTCGGCAAAGTGACCATAACGCACGATAAGCTTTGACAGTAGCTGCCTTGCAATGCGTAGATGTTTTCAAGTCATGACCTATTATTACTTCTAAGTCTTTATGTTCTTGAACGCGTGGAAGAGATATGCCATCAATAGCATAATGGTAGCTATTACTATGTCTGATGTACATGAGCACAACTCTTCCTAGAATTAACTTTTAAGCTCCGACCTCAATCGCATTTAACCAATTCATCGAAATCAGCTTGAAGATTAAAATGATCAGCCTCACTTCTTATTGTTCTTATTGATTACTTCATCATAGTCATTGTTATTAACACAATTCCATATATTTTCCTAAAGATCATCTACATAATAATTTATAAGGTTACATAATTACAAATAATATTATTTTTAATAGTTGAATTTATGAATTAATTAAAGCTAGACCATCATAAAAAATCTGAGAGCATTGAACATCCATTTCGTCCTAGTATGAGACTCATCAACAATGCACATCTATGGCGAAACGGCTATCCACTACTTTCAAGTTTACCATGATGATCTAACTTCAACTGACTCATGAATTCAACTATTGTTTTACTATAATCTCCACAAAAAACCCTTCTCTGATATTATTTTTCATAAATAGATTAAACTTTAATAAGAATGTTACATCGTTATCCTCCAAGAGTAGGTCAATTTGATTTTTGTTGACTATGTTAATGATATTTAGTTTATTATTTTGTTTTATTAGTTAATTTTAGTACTAGGTGACCTTGAACGGATTGTTGAATGAATATGTGGAGCATATAATAATAATAATAATAATAATAATAATAATAATAATAATAATAATAATAATAATAATTTTATTCACTATAAAACCGGCTAACTTTTGTGTACACAATTTATTTTTATGCCAAATAAATTAGGGTCACATATATTCTTTATTGTTTTGTACTTCCTAATCATGTGACCAGTCAGAGAATTGTAATCTGCGTCAGTTAGATGAGCTGAATGACGTGATAATGTATGTTGAAAAAAAAATAGAACAACAGAAAAATGTTAAAATAAGAATATTAGGAGGGGTTTCGTGGAGACTTTAGGAATTTCACTAGTTAAAATCATGAGTCAATTGAAGCTAGACCACCATAGAAGACCTGCGAGAACTGGACGGCCGTTTCTTCCCATTGCGGGACTCCTCAGCAGTGCGAATCCACGATACCACCCCACAGGACTCGAACTCAGAACCTATCAGGTATTTCCTGGAGTTCTACTGAAAAGCCATGACCAGAGGAGTTCCACCAAGTCTGTTATGCGATAGTAACTCACGGAAGACAATGATGAACGGTGGCGAAATTTCGTGAATTGGTTAAAGTTAGTTGGTTAAGCGCCTGGCGCGAGACTGATAGGTCCTGGGTTCGAATCTCGCGAGGTGGAATCGTGGATGCGCACTACTAAGGAGTCCCACACTAGGACAAAACGGCCGTCCAGTGCTTCCAGATTTTCCATGGTGGTCTAGTTTATATATATATATATATATATATATATATATATATATTGAAATATATTTTGTGTAATGAAAATTAGAATTATAAATATGGACTAACTTTTTGGTGTACAACACTTCGGAAGCTCATTCGGCACTATGGCGTACCTGAGAGGATAGTTAATATCATACTGAATTCCTATGATGGATCAAACTGCAAAATCGTGCATGAAGGACAGCTGACCGACTCGTTCGAGGTAAAGACCGGTTTCAAGCAAGGTTGCTTACTCTCACCCTCCTCTTTCTCCTGGTGATCGACTGGATCATGAAGACGTCAACATCTGAGAGGAACCATGTGATTCAGTGGATAGCTAGGATGCAGTTGCACGATCTAGACTTCGCAGATGATCTGACCCTTCTATCACACACAAAACAACAAACGAAGGAGAACACGACCAGTGTAGCAACAGCATCAGCAGCAGTAGGTCTCAACATACACAAAGAGTAAAGCAAGATTCTCCGATATAACACAGCATTCACCAATCCAATCAAAATTGACGGAGAAGCTTTGGAAGATGTAAAAACCTTTACATATTTGGGGAGCATCATCGATGAACACGGTGGATCTGATGCACATGTGAAGGCGCGGATCGGAAAAGCAAGAGCAGCATGTTTACAACTGAAGAACATCTGGAATTCAAAACAACTGTCTGTCGACCAACATTAAGGTCAGAATTTTCAAAACAAATATCAAGATAGTTCTATTGTATGAGGCGGAAACTTGGACAACTACGAAATTCATCACCCAGAAGATATAGGTGTTTATTAATAGTTGTTTATGCAAAATAATTTGGAACCGTTGACCAGATCTCAGCGGAGGAAGAAATCAGGAAGAATCGCTGTAAGTGAATAGGACACACATTGAGGAAATCACTGAACTGCATCTTAAGGCCAGTCCTCACATGAAATCCTCAAGGCTGAATAAAGTAAAACATGAAAACCAAATAACGCATTACGTCGAGAAATGATGATGATGATGATGATGATGATGATGATGATGATGTTAAACATGGATGTTCTTAGTTGCTTATAAATTGTAACTTGAAGTAATTAAACGTTAGACTATTTATGAATGTTATATTTACTTGTTAATGTACAGTCATCAACAGTTCTATCCATTATAAGTATAATCGTTTTTAACTGAACTGATATATTCTTATGTAACGTATCTGAGAGAAATTATATGAATAACAGTTGACACTGATATCCCGAAACGGCGGGCGGATTTGAAATCGTCTGACATTTTTCCCGTGTATTTTTTTTGATGCTTTAATGAAGTCATGTCAAAGGCTAAATTATTCACATTGATACTAACTGATTATTCAATGACTGATAAATGATTTATTTAAAAAAATTGAGTTTGTAGTCTTCGTTAAATTTTGTAGTGGATGTCTTAGATGTACTCTTTTAAGGAGTTTCAAATTAAAAAGAATTAACTGTCCAATTTCCCTGATTTTTGATGAATATCCAAGTAAAATCAGTCTGTAAAGTAAACTATAAAATGGGTGTTCGTGATCTTATTATTCATAGTCTTTCAAATATTTAAATCCGGCTTGTGAGTATAAGAAATATAAAAGCTGGATGTCTTACTTTTATTTTAATGATTTCAGAATGATAAATAAGTCTCCCGTAATCTAGACCATCTCTGGTGTCCGTTCATTTCAGGGGGAACACAACCGGTTATTTCATAATAATGCATGATTACCAGACAGTAGTAATATAACATTTCAGAACAATGGAATTGATCAATAGACAGATGTTACATTGAGATGAGGGAGATTTGTAGCTCAGGTGGATGATTTTGACAGAGTTTTGTTCTTTGAACTGGATAGTTTGGTAGTGGAGCTTGTGCACAAACATAGGAACAAAAAACAAACTAATAGGAGATACAACCAAAATATAGAAGTAAACAATGAAAGGTTTAAGGTTAACACGAACCAATTAACATCGAAGTGTACAGGAAAAGCTATGAACCATATGTAGAGAAATTCGAGCACTTTACTTCAATCTGAAGTTTATCGTTCACAAGAACTATGAAAGCTCCATGACCAAATCATCCAGCTCAGTTAACAAAATTCCATCAAAAATATGTTATATCATTATGTATTTGTGATTTTTAAGAGATGTGTTATGGAGGCTTTTCATTTAGTAACTCA